GCCTCAGACCCTGGACATCACGGGATCCTCAGGAGCAGAGGGTGTGGCCTCGGACCCTGGACACCACGGGGATCCTCAGGAGCAGAGGGTGCGGCCTCGGGCCCTGGACGCAGGGTGTGCTTGACTCCGGGGAGGGAAGTGTCCACGCTCTCACATTGCTCTGCTCAGAAAGGGGTTCTGCTGCATTTAGTGGGTCCTAAGTGCTACAAAGGGATGTGGTGCTGCTCCTGGGACGCCACAGGTGTGACCAGGAATGGGGAGGGAGAGTCAGGTGAGAACAAGCAGACTGCCTGTACCCTGAGTCCTGGAGGCAGCGGGAAGCAGGAGTGAGGAGGAGGAGCAGAGCAGTGGGAGAGGCGCCGCTCACGCTGTCGACCCATCAGGTGATGTGTAGGGAGCATGACATTGGAGAGACCTTGCTCATACCCACACTCCACCCAGCTCAGAGAAAGGGCTGAGGGGAGCAACCCTGAGCAGTGGAGAGAATATCATCCCACCTGGAGGAAGGGGACTGGCGAAGGCAGGGATGTCTTCAGCTCGACTCCGGTACGCAGAGCCACAGTAGCCCGCTGTGCCTCACCCTGTGGCAGTGCCTGGGGTGCCCAGTGAGGTCTGCGTCGCATCTTGGCACTCGCTTTAGAGGAGAGGGTCCGTGGCAGTCAGAAGCACCCCCGCAGGCAGCCAGGGCAGCAAGGCATGGTCATGGCCCCTCTGGCTTTCCAAACGAGAGGAGCCCTTATCTTCTTCACACCTCCGTGCGGGAACATCGCCACATGCCCTGGCTGAGCTGTCCCCGCACCCCAGGGGGGCCTGCTGCTAATCAGCCCCTTGTTTTGCTCTCTCCTCTCTGGGATAGGAGCTGCTGCTCCTGTGATGGGTCTCAATCAATGATGGAGCCGGGTTTTGGGGCCAGAATCCGAGACGGGGACCAGAGGACTGTGAGCTCACATCCTTCTTTGGGGTAGGAGCACACCTCCCTCACCCCTTCCTTTGCATGAAGTCCAGAATACATCAGGCCAATCTGGATGTGCAGCCAACAGCACCCAGAGGGAAGAGCGCTGTTGGGGCCGGGGGAGTCTTGCTCTGTATCTGCACTGCCCAGCCCTCTGTTTCTGTAGCAATGTCCCAAGTTTCCTCCGGAGGTCATGCCAGCTCTTACCCCTCCCTCACGTTCCTAAAGACAGAGCCTACCCTAAGTGTCCAGTTGGTAGCACGGGAGAAGAGTAGCTTGTTCCTTTGGGTTCTTGGAGGGTTCCCAAGATCACTGGCCATAGCTGACTGCCCAGACTATGCTGGAGAGGAGGATGGTCTCTCATAGATGAAACTCCAGCATGAGGCAGATCCAGAAACATACAACATCAAGAATCCTACCCCCGGGCTGGGAAGGTGGCTCAGTGGTAGAGCACTTGCCTTGCATG